ATTTTAAATTCTAATTGCTTCTGGAATGGGCCACCAGAATTGTCCACACTATAGCCCCTATAGTCCACACTTGTTTGCCGCTTCTCTGATGAATCTGTAAAAAGCCGTTTCAACTCAACGGACAGTCAACAGACGAGAATTTTTAAATCAGTAGCCGGGAAGTCGAGATTGGCATCAGATTACTTCGAACTTAAGTTGCTTTTTTTGTGAATACATTTTACGAAACTTCTGTTCCTACCATGACGGAAAATCGTATTTTGCCCAGTAATATGCATCAAACACTGAGAGAGGGGCGAGTGAAATTTATTGTAGTTGTGTTTGAAACATTTGCTTTTCAGTCAACACCGACAGCTTATCATTAAATATTGTATTGCTAAGCAATGTAACTCATTGGTGGTGGTGCTCATACAATGGTCCTCGAGCCACTTCCAGCCTGTGGAATGTATAAAGCTTTTATCAAATTAAGATTCCCTTGAATTTCATATCAGAGTTCTTTGAACATCTTCTTTTTCATACTCAGAATTATTTTCAGAATTCCTCGAATTCTCTCGAATTTTTCATTAAATTTCCGTTATAATTTGTAACACAGTTTCTTTCAAATTTTCCTAAAATTCCGTTTCAAATATTTTTTTTAAATTCTGTTGATTTCACCTCAAAACTTCCATACCCTATCCTCAGATGATGTGAGTTTTAACTTCCATGAAATTGGGTAGTTTAACTTCGAAAAAAAAAATATACTAATTTTTATACATCATCTGATAGAGCTTCGTTTACTGAGCACAACCATATTTTTATCGATCCCGTAGACATTCATCTCGATTTTCAAATCAAGATTTAAATTTTTGATCGTTGACACTAAATCTATTCGTTGACAGCTCGCTCCCATACACAGTCCCACCAAGGGGCGCTAAGATGGTAATGTTTGCTAATGTAATCGTACTTATTTAAAATAGTTCCACTATACCAAAAAATTTTGGATTTCGGTTCCATTTATAATGCAGATAACGAATAACCGTTAAACAACCCAGGAGAGGTTTTTTAGCAGTTGAGTTTTGAGTTAAACTGCTAAAAATCCTCTCCTTGACGCTGTCGAGAATATTAAATTCTCTTTAAGATTAATTTGGAATCGAATTAGATACGGATTCCTTTCGAATTCTAATCACAATTCTTTTTAAATTAAACTCGGAATTCCTAAGAAGTACTTGGCAGCATTGCACAAAATTTGTTTGAAGTTGTGAAGTTTCGGATATTTTTTTGGAATTATCCTTTGAATTCTCTTTGAGTTCTTCTCAGAGATTCTTCGAAATTCTCTTCAGAATCACCATGCAATTCTACTTATAATTAGCTTTAAAGTGTTTTCCTAAAGCTTTCGTCACAAAGCCTTTTAATTTCATTTCCAAATTACTTGTCTCGACGTATTTATTTAAGAATACTTTCCAGATCTCCCTAGGAGTTCTCTTCAAAATAACCTTTGGATTATGGCAATTCTAATCGAAATTCAATTTAATTTTTTTTCCTGTGAATTCATGCAACTTTAAGACAGATCCCAAGTTTTTTTTTTCAAGCTCAAGGTTTCTAAAAAAAAGGAGTGCACTTTGAGCATCATTTGAGGACGGTTGTGTTTTTGCTCCGCTGCGTGCTTTTATTTTATTTTATTTTTTTGAGTCCGGCCTGTCTTTGTGCTGGCGCACAGTGGGACGTAATAAAATAAAGATGAACATGGCCATTTGCGACGAAGCTATTGAGTGTAGCTTTTTGATGTCTTCTAGAATGTTTCTTCAATTTTTAAATACTTTATGGTAAATTTTTTTGATTAAGGGCGGTATACACTAAAATAATAAAATAACTTTTTTATGTCTTGTTAAAATTGATTACTATCTGTGGAAACATTGTAGATAAAGTCATTTAAAAAAACTTTGTCTAAGACGTCGATTTTCCATCTCTCAAGTGGACGAAGTTATTGAGTGGAAATGGAGTACAAACAAACTTTTTAGTTTGAATTTTTAATTTTTTTGAATGTTCTACAAAGTTGTAAGTGCTTTTAAACTGCACATTTTGGAAGCCAAAAAAACGCTATCTTTTTGTTTTAAGGATTGAAGTCCTTTTTTATAATGTTTTAACGCTATCTGTAAGGGGGGTGTATCTTGCAGGTTGGCAGGTATACGCAGATAATCACAACTTTATTTTGTTCGGCATTTTCTACTCTACTGTTACATATACAATTCATAGGGAGATCCAAGGGGATGCCTAATGAATTTTCTAATAAAGTATCTCATTGTTTTGTTACGTTTTGCTATTTTCATGACTATTTGTCCATGTGTTTACATTAGAGTGGGTTTCCCACTGCTCTTTCAATACTTATTCTGGTCCCCAAAAACTAGGCGAAATTTGAACAAATTTGGTTATAATCTCGATTTGCGAGAGAATTTTAAATGTTGTATGGGAAACGGAACGATCCTATTCATTTGCTTACCAAAAATCCTTATATTGCTCAAATTTCACCAAAACTTGGACTTAGACTGAGAATACTATACTATAGAAAATTCATTAGGCATCCCCTTGAATCTCCCTATGAATTGTATATGTAACAGTAGGGTATAAGTTGCTGAACGAAATTACTTTGAGTTTAGCTGCTAATGCCGGCTAACCTGCAAGATACACCCCTTTAAAGTTAGTGTTGAAAAATTATATATACGGATGTAAATCCTTTACATGAAGAGATAGCGATTTGCTTCGCTTATAAAAAATGAGCAGTTTTATAGCACTTAAAACTTTGTAGAACATTGAAAAAATTTGAAAATTCAAACTAAAAAGTTATGGTAAAAAACCGGTTTTAAGGGGGTACTAGCGTTTGTACTCCATTTTCACCCTATAACTTCGTCCACTTGATAGATAGAAAAATAGCGTGTTGGACAAAGTTTATCAAATTGACTTCATCTACAATGTTTCTATAGATGATCATCGATTTCAGCAAGACATAAAAAAGTATTTTTTTTTATCTTAGCGTAAACCCCTCTTAATAAAAATTTTAACTACTCAATTAAACTGCTAAAAATTTGAAGAAACATTCTAGAAGACATCAAAATGTACACTCAATAATTTTGTCGCAAATAGCCATGTCCCACTATTTGTGATTTCGTCCCACTGTGCTGGCGTGGAGTTATTCGGTGCTCGCATTTTGTTTTGGTTTTGTGTCCCGGGCGCGATGATTTGGTTTGGAAAGGTTTGTGCAGCTATTTTCCCCCTGTTGCTTGGGAGCTTGGTGTGCTCCCGCTTCCTTTTGTTGCCGATGTGACTCGACCGCGATCTATTGTAGGATTTTTGCGATGAGCATTATTTTTGTAAACGGAGTGCTCGGTTTCCATCAAAGCTGGTATTGCTTAGTTTCAGATCACCAGTGTTTACCCATTGAGAATGATTGCTAGTCCCAAGCATCGTCTATTGGTTCTTTGTGTAATTACAGCTGATCTGGCAATAACAGAGTAGCAACCGTGGGCGGTCAATCATACTCATGCTCATGCTGAAGCTCAAGGTTTCTAAAAGAATTTCTTACGACAATCTTTTCAAAATTCAACCTGTTTTAACCATGGCATTCAGCATAGTATCCGGAAAATTTTCACGATTCTGTAGCTCGGAAAACTTCTTAAGTCTCAATGAGGCCTTGGAATTCTTTCAAGATATCCAACTCCACAATATTCACTTTATTTTAGAGCTGTTAAATTTTTATAGAAACAATATCTTTAATGATTCGTGATCTAAATTTCAAGATCTAAAACAATAATTTGTTATTGATGCAATGAATTATGAGGAAACCCAAGCAATGTGGCCCGCGCTTTACGCAGAAACTTGTATATGGCCCGCCATCTGCCTTCAGCTGAGCACAAGTGATTTAGTATTATGTAATAAACTTAAAATGTGCAACCCTCGTCAGCTATTGAATTCTCATTGGAAAATGTGGGGTCTTATCGTTCCGTTCACACTACAGCTTACATTTAATGATATGTATATTTACGTAATAATTCATCGATCGAAGACTCAGTTGCTAACGGCCCAAGATTCACGAAATTCAAGCTTTCGAAACGACGGTTCGTAGGCAGATCATACGACAGGGATTGACTAAGCTTTACTCACATGTCTTTACACGTGACTGTCGTTAATTTAATTCAGTTCAACGGATCGAACAGATTGTGGTGCAAAAATTGTAATTCCTGAGGATGGAGCAGTGTAGTACTGTGAACAGTTGAGGAGGTGATTTCTCGAAGCGAAGCGATCGATGTTTCGAAACACATCAGGTTAATACAATATCAGGGTGACCAGTGAATCGGAAAACCGGGAAAATCCTGTAGGCATCCAAAATATCATTTTGTAAATAGTCAAATTCGAACTAACATTGAACTATATCAACCCTAGGTAGTTATTAAGAAAGACCTACTTCTTCTACTACAGACAATATTTGAATCTATTAAATTGCGATTGTTACCTAAATAAATGATTTTCACCTTAAGCTGGCGATGATGCCCCTTCCTACCCTACTGCTCGCTTGTTGCTCTTTGCATTGCAAAGCACGCCTGAATAGGCTTAACTTTCTGATTTGAATTGCGAATTCATCCCTTTCCCCCCGAATGGCCGGGAACTTGAAACCCGGTATGAGCCCGAGCGTTTGATTGAGAATTCATCAGACAGTAACTTGATGAATCCTAGAATCCGCTCCGACGACGACACAGCCACACACAAATGCAAATATCCGTAAGAGTCGTTGCTCGCGAGATTCACACAAGCGCTCCTCTCGTGCCATTATTAAATTGCCCTGTTGCAGTTTTCCGCCACTCACCACCCACTGCTGCAGCGTTACCATGTTCTCTTCCGAGACGCTCGGAATTGTAAATTAGTCCAGTGTTAGTCGCTCTCGCGCTCTTCCTGTCTGAGTGTGTCTCAACGGCGGGGTAGGTTTGCTGGAAAGCTCCCGGTCCGGATCGCCCATCAGTCAACTGTTGTTCTTCGTCGCGTTCGGACGGATCTTAGTCCTGCATCGTCACTGCCACCGTTCAAGATCGCTGGGCACTAGTGTTCTGTTTGTTGCGCCTCGCAGTCGGTCGCTTCGAACTTGTGGAAATTGTGATATTCTACTCAAGTGAAAGTCGTAGCATTTCCCAGTAGTGCCTGTTTTTTTTATCGAATCGCAAAGGAGAGAGATATCAAAAGATTTCAGTTTTTATGAAGTGCAATCAGGTGATATTTTAGCGGAAGAAAAATGCACCTGCAGACCAGTAGTAAGCATCTGTGATAGCCACATACACAAACCTACGTCTACAAACTAGCGGTTACTACGAGTGCTGATTTTAAGGGTGAAATCAGTGGCGTGGTGAGATTAGTGCAGTGAGATTAGGCTAGGGATTCGCGTTTGCGATGTACAGCGATAATAGACGCAGTGCCTTCTGTGAAAGTGGTGGAGATAAGGACAAATGTTATCCCTATTCGATTCTTTCGAAGCACCAACAGCAGCAACAGTTGCAGCAACTACAGCAGCATCAGCAACGGTACTATCTTTCGCCGCAGCAACCTCCGGTTGGCCAAGGCTTTCGAACCTATCAGGGCTCGGTTCCGCCGCAAATTGCACACTCATCAATCAACATTCATCCACCGCCCGCTCAAGGAGCATCCTTCTACGAAAACACCATGGTCACCGACGTCGGAATCTGCTTCAGCATGAGGAACGTAAACTTGAACGATGATAATCCACCCCATCTCGGTCATCCTTCGTTATCCGTGCTAGGCAAAGGTTATGGTGATGCTGCCCCAGCACCGGTCAATAACGTTCCCCAGCCCAAGTACCGCTCAACATCTTCTGCCTACAAAGCACGTAATCTCACTCCACCAAGTGGAATGTCAATGTCTTCCTCCCACTCCTCACCGTCAACCTCGCCCTACAGCATACCATATTCCCCGTATTACTTCGCTTATCCCAAGATCCCCGTCAAGATCTACAACAACCGAGCTGTCCCATACGTCCCGCTCCCGACGAATACGGCCTCATCTGCCTCGGCAGCTGCAGCCTACGGTCAGCAGCTCAACAGCTACTTCAACTACCCAGCTCCACCTCCACCATCCGAGAGCAAACTCCAGACAAAGTTTCGTCGAAATGCCTCCAAAAACCTAATGGACAACCAGTACTACGACATTTGCATGAACGAGTGCAGCAATGCCATGAAAACTATGCTCAACTCTCCGTTGAGTCGGAAGTCACCACCCCAGCGTCATCAAACACCCAGTCCATTCAACCCAGCGAAAAGTCCAATCCACGTGGACGTGGACGATTCGTTCGTCAGCGACGAAGCCGACCACGCCGATGATGAGCGTGACTCTGCCGATTTACCGCCACTACCGGATGACGACGACGACGACGACGACGAGAATGGCTTCGAAGAACCTCAGGATTTTAGCATGAAATCACGGACTACCATCGAGGAGCCTCCGCGGAGCAAGGATTTGAGCGAATGTTCCCGACGACCGACTGGCGCTCCTAAGAAAAAATGGATACGGCAACACATGAAGGGTAGGTTTGTAGCACCTCTACACATTGTCAATGCTAAAGCATGTATTTAATGCGTTTTTCGATGGCCATTTACGGTACAAAAAAAATGTTATCAAAATAAAGGAATGAGCTTACCAAATGAGTTTCAGAACACTTCTTCCTTGTGTGTCACCTTTGATGAAGCTCCTAGCACCGGCGCAACCATCGGTAATTGAGAGAATTACAACTGACAAGAGAGTGAGAGAGAGAGAGCTTTTGCGCTCTCTTCTCCATTACTCTCTTTGCCTGCAATCAGATATCCAAGTGCACAGCGTGAAATGCACGCTTTAGGCACCCATACATCACAAATGTTCTTCTAAATTAAAATCATACATTCAAGCCGGTCTGCAAGTATGATAACGTCCAAAGCGTACCAGACTGCTGTTTCCGTGTTGCTCCCGTTTGACGCGTGACTGCTGAAAGTTTCAATTACAACTAGTGGTGCAAACCGCCATGTATTGTGGAAAATGTGTGGTATGTTTCAAGAGGTGATAGAAGGTCTGCTAGGCTTTCATCACGCATTTGACCATTCTCAATTTTGTCATGGTAGTGATATCGAAATGCTTAGATATCAATGCATTAGGGATTAGGCAGACCATCCGAACTGAATTTAATCCTTTTTGAAGCAAACCAAGGTCGAAGATTTAATTGAGCCACACTAAAAAATAGTGTATTCATGGTCGCTGGTGGTCTGGAGTAAAGAAATATAGCAGTGACGAGAAAATCTATAAAAATCTTTTTATAGCGTCAAATACATTTTTTTTAAATTATTTACACCTGTGTCGTGCACAGGTTGCACATGTGGACGCGACGGCACTGAGTTTGAAGATGGTTGTTCATTTTAAATTTTAAATAGTGTTGCGAATTTGTGGTTGCTCAATGCTTGATGTTGCATTTTTGCAAGTTGAGCTAGAATTACTCAAATAAAAGAGGATTTTGATGATTAATAAAAATCCATTTCCGTAGACACTTGACATTGTTAGTTGTTGCAAAATTTAACATCCACATTTGTATGTCTTGGTCTCTTAGTAGATGTTACATCTAATTGCGTTTAATTTAGATCCTTTGGGTGCAATGGAGCGCTTTTGAGTAAAGAGCTAAGAGAAGAGGATGATTTTTGTTTCTGACCACTTGTAGTTCCTGTTCCTTATTGTGTTCTAAACACCCTGATTAGGATAATGGTCTTGCTTGGGTGGATTTTTGTCATTGATGCTTGGAGTAGCACTTTTATGATAGAAATATGATTCAAAGAATCATAAACAAGCATTGCCTCGACAGCATAGAGTGGCTTTATTGAGTATTCTAGGTCTTCATTGTAAATCTGATTAGCTCGGTACATTAGATTCTCAGTGAATGGTGAAAGCGCTGTTTTTACGATTTCCTACCATAGGAATCTGACCGCAAATTAGCGTTGGGTTAAGCGCATTAACCGGAATAATTTTCTTGCGAAGCTGGGTCTTAAATTGTGCTCAAGGGATTAAAGACAAGTGTTTCATATGTAAGATGTAGGAGAACTGGTTGAATTTCTGTCGCTAGCGTTGAGTTCAGAAACAGTCAGAACAGAACTTCTAAGCCGGGTTGAAAAAGTTCACGATATTTCACGAAGTTCAACAAGGTAAAAGTTCGCGAGTCATAGTGAGTTTTGGTGAATATTTTCAACACTGCATCAGAGGGTGAGAAAATCGTCATGCCAAGGATCTCTTCTCATATCAGGGAGTAAATCGAGCAAACTTGTTGAAAATTTTAAGCGATTAAGCAAGACTTGTTTGAAGATTGATATCGAGATGATTGCAGTTTTCTTCGCTATTAATCATGAATTGAACTGCTTACCTGGCGCTTACCGTGATTATGAATTTAGAAAAATGTGGGCCTTCCCGTTTTTGGTAAAACGCGATTTCTGTCTTTTTTGCATTCTATAAAATGTATCGAACGCTTTATTCTATTTGAGATTGTACTGGACCACACTTCATGGGTTAGAAGTCCATGTCCAGAAAGCACTACCCAACTAACAATTTTGGCTGCAGACTAGCTGATACAACCGACAAATTACTATATGCATCTAATTTGTGCCTGTATAGGCTGGTCTGCAGCTAGAACTGTTTGTTGGGTAATACATATCTGAGGAAAATAATAGCTGATGAGATCGTGTTGACAAAACCATGTAGACACTGCAATTGAAGTTTGTTGGAAAATTACTGGAAAATATCAGGAAATTTTGTTTTCTTCATTGAGTCGACACCCTGTTAACGCAAAGCTGGAGTAGGAATCAATTCGGAAACAGTAAGCGCGCTCGATAGAAAACAAACACGCGTCTATTTAATCGTGGCCAAGGCACGCTTCGATTTATGAAGTGTCTAATAGTGGCAGTCAAATTAAATTCAATTCTGTTTGTGCACAACCAGAGCTGTCATATGATTACTCAATGCGCGCAATGTACTGATTTTCTGATGTCGTTTTCGTTTTTACTACACTACACCGGTGTAGTGTAAGCAGCAATAAGCACAAGTCATTGACAGCTCATTATCATTTGTTTGTAAACAAAGGTGCAACCGATAGCTACACCCTGAATTTTGCCGGTGTACGGCGGTGTAGCACCGGTGTAGCTATTCCGCAAAAACGAAAACGACATGAAATAAACAAAGTGAGAATGAAGCATACTTGGATTGCTCGATCTTGGATCGATCTTAGGAAGATCGATCTTTTTCATCTCGATTTCCGAACGATCTTTTCGAGTTTAAAAAAAACAATAGGTGTTTATTTTTTTAATTGTATTTACATCGAAAAAACGATTTACTCTCCCCCAGACTGGCGAGGTAAATTTAACGAACATAACGTCAACATCAGCATCGCTCCCTACAATGGCGTCACTATTTGCGTTTCCGATATTTATGAATACAGCAACATTTGAAGGTTTTCGCTACCTTCCTCCAGGCTTGATGGAGCCTCGCTCGCGAGTTTGAAATGAGCCGAGCGTAGAATTTTTCTGAGGAGTAGAATGCCTAATGCCAAATCATTCCACTGAGCTTCAGAGCTTGTGAGCGAAGGGGGATAAAAATGAGAGTGAGGTTTGCTGCCATTCATGTTTATGGTTCCTATCACACGCTCTTACTCTCACTCTGGGTGAACTCTGAGCTTCTTGCGTCGAACAAAAAAGTCATCCGGAGTCTCGAAAAGCCATCCATATTCCTGCCGCCACTTCCTCGAGGTGAGGGCTGGGCTAAACTCGCAGGACAAGAATGTTTTAATACCTTCAGTGAGTTTGTGGAGTTTCAGTAAGCCTGCCTTCCTCCTATGCTGATTGCTCCTTACCGTCACGACAACATTTAGTTGAATATTTCTTGGGGTACCAACGTGAACAAGCGTATAGTCCGTGTGAGAAAGTGAGGATAACAATAACAAGCCAACATTTTTGGCTAGAGCGAAAGTGAAAACAGCAAACTAAGCACTTGAAAATGCGATTACGCAAGTGTGCGAGTTATAAACGTCAGAAAGGTTAATTAAAATAAAAAACCATACGATCGATTTACCAAAGATCGATTTAATCAGTGGATCAATTCTAAAGCCTTTCTCTGAAGATCGCCCAATCCTAAAGCAAACACAAAGTTTGCTTGTCTTTCACCGAGCGTAAGTGTAAAGCAGCGGAGAAGAGAAGACAAACACACACCCAGAAATAATGAAAACTCAATGTGTGGCCATCGCTCCGACGGCTCCGACGCAAAGAGCGCCACTCAGTGTAGGGTTGGCAAATGGGAAACCCAGCAAAAAGAGACAAAATTCTTCTTCGTTATGCCCTTTTTCATCTCCTATGCATGCAGTCGTGGTAAGCAAAGTCTGCAAAGAACTCAAAGAAGACGTTAGCAACAGAACAGAAGGGGAAGTGCAAACAAATCGGTGAATCAAAAAGTGGTACGTTTTTATGCTCAACCAGCGATGCATTGTAATAGCGTTCCACACGGGCTTTCTATGCGCACTCACATGCTGCCTATCTTAACTGCAAGCAGAAGATGTTCTCCAATGAAAAGTGGAGCCACTTTCTGATCCGAAGTTCCCCTTCTGTTCTGTGCATTAGCGCTTGTTGTATTATATTCGCTCCCTGCGCCGCACGGAGTGTGCCGCTCATTGTGTAGATCGCTTTCTCACGGATTAGTTGGAAAAGAGTGTGCGAAGTAAATGGGAGAACCACACACTCTTTGTCGAGTGTTGTGAGATCCATCTGGTTTAAAGAATACCCTTGTGTTTTTCTTGAATTGGAAAATATGATAACCTACCTATATACGAGTATAACTAAACCTAACGTGCTAGATCACGTATGATCTGATGATCTGATCTCAGACAGGTATCTCGGAACCTTTCCAGGATGAATACTCTCCGTTATTCTAATGCCTGAATTCCACCCAGGAGGTGGATCTCAGAATATTGAGTCTGCGGTGGACTGTTTAGGGTCGTCCTATGGATCTTGTTCTGGATCCTTTACAGTTTAAGGTGATGGCATTTGGAGCAACTCTCCCAGATTGGCATACTATACTCAATAACGGGTAGGATTAGTTGTCTATAGACAGCAAGCTTATTTTTCAAGGGTAAAGTTGAGTTTCCTGTAGACAAGCGGATATAGTGATCTCATCAAGATGCTGCACTTGGTGTTAGTCTTATCAATGTGCTCCCTGAAAAGAAGCTTGCTGTGTAGGGTTTCCACCTCTGAGCAGTTTATGCATATAATATTATTTTCAGACGGGACAAGTCTTGGTTATTGGGAATGTGGGTCTTCGCCGCGTTGATATGGATCTTCCTGTTGTTGAAATACTCTTTGAAGTTTGGCAGTAAGAGCTCCGATGACCCTTCCCTTGTAGATGATGGATGTGTCATCTGCAAACAGAGACAACATTCCACCATCTGGGAGAGCCGGAATGTCGGAGGTGAACAAGTTGAAGAGGATGGGCCCAAGAGGAACGAGGCCATCATGCAAGACTTTTTCAAACGTCCAA